AAGTCTTTGATCCATTTTGAGTTGATTTTTGTGTATGGTGTAAGGGAGTGTTCTAGCTTCATTGCTTTACATGCTGCTGTTCAGTTTTCCCAACACCATTTGCTGAAGAGGCTGTCTTTATTCCATTGTATATTCTTGCCTCCTTTGTCGAAGATTAGTTGACCAAAAGTTTGTGGATTTGTTTCTGGGCTCTCTGTTCTGTTCCATTGGTCCATATGTCTGTTTTTGAAGGTTCTTTTTATTTAGGGTCAGCCACACAACACTTCTCAGTTTGTTCTCAGAACCCCGTGAGATGGTCCTCTGAGCCCCACCTGATAGATGAGGAAACTGAAGCTAAGAGGGGCTGAGGGTCTTGCCCTAAATCAGCTGGGATGTGGGGGAGATAAGAACCCAGAAATCATTGACACCAGAGTCAAACCTCTGAAGACTTCGTACTCAGCTGAGCCAGTAAACATTTAGTGAGCACTTACTCTGTGCTGAACATTGAATCTGCCAAGACTCTGCCTTTAAACTGTTTACAGTCTCGACTGTACAGACTTGGAAAAGAAGCTGCCTTTTACACGGTGCCTATGAGGAGGGAAAGAGAATATCCAAGTAGATTGTGCTGGTCCTGTAAGCCTGCCATCCCACGAAACTCTCCCTGCCAGGCAGACTGAGATCTGTCACGAGTCCCCTTTATACATGCGAAAATGGAGTCTTACAGAGGTTGTGTTGATTAGCCAGATGGTAATCACCCAATGAAAGTGGAAATCAGAATCTGAACAATGATCTTGCACTCTCTCTGCCCACACGTTGACTCTACACTGTGGATAAAATTCAGGTAGCTCCAGTGTGTGCCCCGTGTGTTCAGTGTTCCTAAGGAGTGTCAGCTAGTGTTCCTGGAGTTGTCAGGGCTTTGGGAAGGAAAGGAGGAAGGTAGCAGTCCACACTGCAAAAGATGATCTGTGTGTGGCGGGGTTGGGGGACCGCCAGTGGCACCAGCAGTGGTGCTTGGCCTGCTCGGGGCGCGTTGAACTTTGCTGTGGAATTAGTCATGGTCTCCTTAGACCATGACCTTGCATGTTCCTTCTGGAACTAAACTCCTGCCTCAGCAGATAGGTAGGAATCTCTGCTGTAAGTGATCACGGAGATGCAGGTAACTCAGGGAACGTCCACGCAGCAGCTCTTCCGTCTTGATTTACTTGATAATCATTGGATCCTCGGTCTCCAGTTTCTCAAGCTGACTCTGGAACAGCTCGCCCTGGCGGGAATCTGGTGGAAGTGCTCTCTGTGGTGGGATCCCCTCCTGTCTACAACGTCACTTCCTGGTTGGCGGGGTGTGGCCTGGACCTCCCGCTCATCACTGCAAGGTAGGGAAACTGTCCATCCTTAAAACTGCTAACTGGCCTTGAAGACACAGCTTTTCTTTTATCAGGAAAAGCTGGCTGTCTTGTTGCTTAAAGCAACAGTTCTCAATCTCAGGGATGCTGTCCATATCAGACTCATCTGGAGGTCCTGTTAAAACACAGACTGCTGACCCTGACCACCTTGTCTCTGATGTAGTAGGTTTGGGGCAGGGCCTGGTAATATGCATTTCTAATGAGTTCCCAGGGGTTGCGGTTGCAACTGACCTGGGGACGACACTTCAAGAACTAGTTCCTAGTGAATTTGTTTATAAGTAGTTGCATTTTAACACTTTCCCGAGGTTCACATTACCACTGTTTTCTTTTTGCTCCTCTCTTTCTATTCCCCGTGTATTAATCTTACTAGAATCCCTGGAGGCAAAATGAAATTAGTCAAGGGAACAAAGCCAGGTAGTTCTAGGATCTCACCACCAGATGGCACTAGAGCCCCACTGAGCATTGCCTCTCCTGCAACAGTCAAACCTCTGTAGCCACCATTTACATAGCAGTAACTAAGAGTCAGGCTCCTCCAAGCTCCCGGGAACACATGCATGCTTTAATCCGTTCTTTTAATTTTCCACTAAAACCCCAGTAGGATGGGAAGAATTGAGATGTCTTGTCTTTAAAATTTCTACCCCCCACCCATCTCTTTCTAATATGTTCCAAAATGAGTTCTCATGCTTATACCATGCTTGGGATGGTGTATGAACAGTAGGCACAGAAAGCTTGAATCTGTGCCCCACCTTCCTTGACTTAGTGTTTCAGGGTCCCCTGGGAAGGAAAGATGCAAAGATCATCAACAGATGGAAGGAGTGAAAGAGCTTCAGTGGTGGCCAGGGGGCCGTCCTGCTGTCCAGCCTGCAGTCCTGTGTGCCCAACGCCAGAGTCACTAACTCTGAAAGGCTGGAGTGTGACTCAGGTTACTTGGAACGGGTCCACCCTTAGAGTGGTCCTCACGCCCTCCCTTTCTGAGCTTTTCCTCAAGTCCCTCAGCTCCTTTGGGAAGCCTCCAGCCTCAGCCAGTCAGGACAGCCTTCAGACTGGTCCAGCCTCCGACACAGATAGTACCACTCGCACTGTTTTTGCCTAGTTGTACGTACGCCCCTCAGAGTGTCTTACTTAAAAAATATTATTGATAGAAATCTTCCTTCATGTTCGTTGTTGAAAATTTGGAAAATACAGAAAAACTCTTAGAGAAAGACACCAAGCCCTTGCAACCCGCCTGCTCAGAGAGAACTTCTGCTAACGCATCGGATCCACCTTTTCCCCAAGCAGTTTTTGTACACACGTGTACATGTACATATTCACTTTGTAAACCTCAGCTGGGGACCACACGTAACACAGTGTTTGCAACATGCCCTTTTCATCTAATGGTATAAGTTGAATCTTCCTCATTTCATTAAGTGTACTTGTAGAATGTGGTTTTAACGGCTGAAGAGTATTTCATCTCGTGCTGGGTCATGATTTATCCGACCCATTTATTGTATTAAAAGCAGGATTAGGCAGAGTCGGGGGAGGGTGTAGCTCAAGTGGTAGAGCATATGCTTAGCATACAGAGAGTCCTGGGTTCAATCCCCAGCACCCCCTCAAAAAAATAAATAAGTAAACTTAATTATCTCCCCCTTAAAAAAACTGCAATACATTAAAAAAAAAAAGCAAGGTTAGGCAGGCAGCATGTTTGCACACAGGTGCCGGGTAAGGAGTCGGCTAGATGAGGTGGCCTGTTTCTGCTGGGGACACTGAGAGGGGAGGTGTCTGTGGATCAGGGCCCTGACTTTTCATCTGGTTATGTAAATGAGGTTCGAGAATACCAGGTTCTCCCTTCACTGTGTCAGGACCAAGACAGCAGAGGCCAGTCCTCACTCTCCACTCTGGGCCCATGTGCTCCCAGGATCAGTGTGGGGGGGTGGAACACCCCTAAAGAATCCTCATGTTTACACTGCGTTTCCTCTGCTGTGCTGGGAACGCGAGCGGATGGTCTGGAGAGGTCTGGTCTGTGGATGGATCTGTGTCCTGTCTGGAGCGGCTGCTGGGGGCACCGCGGTTAATGCTTGTTTCTGCCGCAGCTCTGTGCCCAGTGAAGGAGCAGAGGGAGGATCCGGGTCTGTCCAGGCGACAACACGGAGACTACAGAGGACAAGTCCACCTTTAGGGGGACACTTCCGCATCCAGCTTTCCGACACAGTGATTCCTGGTAAAGGGGCCGTCAGGGGTACAGCGTTTCTTGTTTACATTTTTTATGGCATTTCCAGGCCATCAGCCTCCTGCAGGATTGCCAGGCAGGGTGAGAGTCTTGAAGCTGTTTTGTTTATTTTCCAGTGTCTGAAATGATCTTAAAATTAAAGGGCTGGACAATAGGCATCACCCACCATTGTTAATATGATCCCACCCTTTTAGCTTTGTAGACGTGGAAACTGAGTGGATTAGCTTCCTGGGGCTGTCATAACCAATGGTATAGCCTTGATGGCTTAAACCAACAGGAACCTAGTCTCTTACAGTTCTGGAGGGCAGAGTTCAAGAGCCAGTTGTTGGCAGGGCCACACTTACCCCCGAGGCTCTAGGGGAGGATCTGTGTCCTGCCTCTTTCTGCTTCTGGTGGCTGCCAGCATCCCTTGGCTGCAGCCGCATCACTTCAACTCCTGCCTCCCTGGTCACGTTGTCTCTTCCTCTACTTCTTTGTAATGGAGGGACTGGGGATTGAATCCAGGACCTGGGTGCATGCTAAGCATGTGTTCTACCACCGAGCTGTACCCATACCACGTCTCTTCCTCTTCTGTTTCCAAAGTCCCTCTGCCTCTCTCTTTCAAGGATATGGATGATTGCATTTAGGGCCAACCTTGATAATCCAGGGTGAACCCCTCTTCTTAAGATCCTTAACCACATCTTTTGCCATACAAGGTCATAGTCCTAGTTTCCGGGGATTAGGACAATGACATATCTTTTTGAGGGCCACCATTCAGCCACTAGACTCAGGCTTGCCCAGAGCTCATGCAAATAGTTAATGTCAGGGACCAGATATGAGCTGGGGTCTTTGATTCTCTGATCAGTCCTCTTCTCTCTAGAGTCTCCTGGGCCCAGATTCACGGTAGTCATGGCCCTTCCGAATTCAACGCCACAGTGACACCACATGATAGTGAGGATTTAGGGATCATAACAAATGCAGAAGAGCTGACAGCTGCCGTGAGGGGAAAACAGCTTCTAAATCATCCAGAACGTACACATCTCACCAAGGACAGGATCAGAAGTGATTCTAATAGGGCATTTATTTCATAAAAGCATAGAGGAATCAGAAAGGAGGCTCAGGAGAACTCTATAGAGTGGCTGGAGAAAAAGTGATGCATGGGCCAGAAGTCTTCTGTCCTCCCAAGTGGAAAGACACTGGGCTTGCAAAGAATCTTCCAGGGTGGAGGACTGGAGTGTTACTCTCCTAGGGCCCCTTAGGGAAAGTTGATGGCCCCTGGGCTGCTGGAGTCTGAGAAATGGGTGAGTAAGTGCATCAGAGCTCTGCGCCTGGGAAGCCCACTACTGTGCTGTCTTCCTTCTCACGAATGGGACCCTGTGGCCTCTCTCTAGAGACTTATCCTGCCATCGTATTCTGTCTCTGAGGCTCGTCCTCCCATCACTGCCTGTGACACAGCCGGGGGGCAGGGAGAGAGCCAGCCTTTCACCGGGCCTTTTGAAATGATGGTGGCCTTCAACTTATGTATTTGTGCAGAACAATAATTTTTTTTTAAAGCTGAGAATTTTATCTGCAAATTGGAAGTACCGTGGTATTTGACTAACACTCCAGGGCAAGTGTGGGGTTCAAGAGGAAAGCTCTCGTGCAGGCTGAAGGCCACGTGGGTTTTAATCTAAGCCTGGCTCACTTGGTTGGCAAGCTTCAGCATCAACCCAGGTTTCATTTTCTTCATCTTGAAAGCAGGCGTCAGGACATCCAGGTGAACCACCTCGCAGGGCTGTTGGGAGTAGCTAATGAGATGGAAACTTTTGGTAAAGCATGAAACAGGGTTCGAACACCAGCAAGGCTGCAGCCCAGGGTGTCGTTATTCCTCCCTGGGGACGTGGAATGGGGAAACAGGTGGTTGGGCTTAAAGGAAATTCTAATCGAGATGCCGAAGTTCAGCGCCAACATTCCTCAGCTGGGTTGTCTGAGTTTTTATGGGTGTCAGCTGCTGTGTGTCCCCCGACTCCCTGTGAAGGGTGGCCAACTTCTCCCTGTTCACAGGGCCGGCTAAATTTTCCTGCAGAAAACCCACTATTTAATTAGACTTTATGGCACTGCCAGGATAGCTGGGGTTCCCGTTTTGAGTTGACAGTTGAGACAGGTTTGCCTGAGCGACTGTGTTCTCGGCTTGAGACGTGTGATGCTGATGGAAGAGCCCATGGTGTAAAAAGTGAGCATCTGCTTGTAGCTGCCTTAAAAAATGGTTTAATGGGGCTGAGGGTTCTGGTGAAGCTGGGTTTTGAACTTGAAGTTCTCCTGCGATGTGTGGTAGCAGCCTGACGTGTATTGTCTCATCTTGATAATGAGACTCTGTGAGGCGGAGTAATTGGTGTCCTGTATTTTCTACATCAAAACCTTCTCCCCCAGGTGTCCCTGTGCACATTTCAGCCAGTCACCTCCAAAAGCTCTTACAGAACAATGCCGACGACTTCACATCCAGGTACCTCAACGTCAGTGACTTCACTGTGACGGAGGATCTGAAGTCTTGCTACGAACATGTGTGGACCCTCTCTTGGTCCACCCAGGTTGGGGACTTGCCCAATTTCATCAGGGTAGGTATGGTATCCCTTTTGGTTTTGTGAACTTGATGCCCTTGGAGCAATTCTGTGGGAAAAAAATCAGAATTGTATGAATGAACACTGTCATGATTTGTTAATTTTGTCAGAATAGTCAAGGTCAGGTCAAGGACCTTTCTTTCTGGAAGTTTTCAAGACATAGTTGAATCTTATGCTCCTGTTAAAGCAATTTAAACTGAGCATCTCCCTTCCTAACTCAATGCAGGTAGAGAAGTCATTGGTCAGTGTCCACCATGCAGTAGCTCCACATCTGTTATTGGATAATTTAAGCAGATGTGATTGACTTCGATTATCGTGGAGGCAGATGGTGCAGCAGAAGGAAGTTTAGGAAAGGATTTGCTGTCTTTGGATAATGACAAAACCAGATGCTCTTGCATATTTAGGGTTTTGAAAAATAATCTAATGATCATCCAGCATTTGGTTTTATAAAGTGAAACCTGAGATGAAGTTTTATTCTTGTGATGTGATATTGTGGGTCATCTGGTTTCCAAAGAAAATTCTTGGGTGGAGATGGAGGAAGGATCAGAGCCATCTCTTGGCACTTGATTTTCTAGAGTTGATTTTATTATTTTGGGTTGCACACTGATAAAATTAGAAAGCACACGGAAACAAAATATCTCAGGGCTTACAGGATGAGTATGTTGTGCTTTTCTCGGGCAACGACGCTTCTCATTAAATACTTCCCTGGTCAACTGGGGCTTCCAGTAGCCATTATGGACTATTAGGTTTCTAGATTTTAAGCCCCACTCACTCGATTTTTCATTCTCTAGCTATCTGATTATCTTAAGCAGAATGATGTGAAAACACCTCTGGTCATTTATTTTAATCAAGATTAAACTTCTGTGCCATGACGAAACTCACCAGAAATGTAACCATCTCAGGTATCGGACGAAAACCTGACGGGAGTGAACCCTGTTGTGACCACGCGTGTGGTATATGACGGTGGAGTTTTTCTTGGACCCATATTTGGAGACATGTTGGTCACTGCCAATGAGCACACTCAGGTGAGAGCGGATGGGCCCTGCAACGTGCAACTGTTAGGTTCAAGTTGATGGCAGCCCCTTGAGATTTGTAATGTGGACCAATCCCAAGGGTCGGTTTCCCAATCCACAAGACAGGGATGGCTACGGCTGTGCTCTGTCTACTGCCACGGGGTCTGCAGAGGACTCTGGAAATGTAAGTGAAGTGCCCCAGCTAAGTCAACCCCTTTTTCTCTTTAAAACGTCCTTTGCTCTTTCGCATGTGTGCAAACTTCTGTTGTAAGTCATCTGCTTTTAATTTGAGACAATTTTAACATGCAGAAAATGTAAAGAACCATATGACCAACACCTGAGTACCCAGGTGAAGATTAACAATGGCCAACATTTGATATGTTTATGTTATCTTCTTTGTCTTTGAATAAAATAAAATAATGAGCAAAATAAAACATTGCTGATGAAACCGGAGGGTTCACGATCACCCGTGCCTTCATGCCATCCCCAAATCCCTTCCCTCCATAAGCAGACACCCTCATGAATAAGGCGTGTGTGCTTTTTAATCCTTATTTTATATGTAGAGTCATATCTTTTTCCACCTTTCTCATCTCCAAGATTTGCAGAGTTCTGTTACATTAACCCTAGTCCCAGTGAGACGGAAAGACATATAATTTATTCTTGGGGCCTTGTCATTCTAGGACAAATAAAGACCCCCAACCAAATGTCCAAATACACTCTAACCTTCAGTTACACGACCATGTAGTGAGGGTGGAAGGAAGGTGCCTACTTCATTGGCCTGTCCCTGCAGAGGAAGGGCTTTTCATAGGGAGCAGGTACTGAGTGCAAAATAGAAAGTGATTACAGAAGTCCTCATCCAGGTTGAACTGACTTCTGTGCGACAGAGAGGAAAGTTACTCAAGAGCGAGCGTATTTAATTGTAAAAATGTTAGGTTTCAGCATATACTTACCATCCTTTAAAAAAAGCCTAACGTGTTTTGAGTCATGCATTACAATATCGGGTCTATTATTGGAAAATAGGAGGAAAAAAGAGAATTAAGTGAATCACTAACAGTTGAATTTGGGTAAACTTCGCAAGTACTTTATGAATACTCTGGAGCATATGAAATCCTGCATTTGCTTTGAATTCTTCTGCCTTTTTCCAGGTGGTTGTGCGAGTGAATGATGTACCAGCTCATTGTTCAGGTTCATGTTCCTTCCAGTACCTCGAGGGGTCGACTCCCCGGGTCCACTCTGTGTGGTATGACCTAGGTATGATTTGTACTTGGCACTGAGATGGGGGTGAACTTCAGCTCAGAGTGATTTGTTGGAGGCTGCGTGCCTGGTGAGGGGCGAGTAGATGGTGGGGTCAGTTCGTGGGGTGGATATTGAGTGATGCAGCAAAAAAAAAAAAGTATTTTTCAGCTATTGAAATGATATGGTCATAATTTGAAATGGTGGATTTTTGATGACTTAACATGTTTTATTCTCTTTGTCCCTTGCTTTTTATTTTTATTTTTTGAAACATAGTTGATTTACAGTGTTGTGTTAGTTTCTGGTGTACAGCAAAGTGATTCAGTTATACAGATATATGTATATTCTTTTTCATTATATTACAAGATATTGAATATAGTTCCCTGTGCTATACAATAGGTCCTTGTTTATCTATGCTGTATGTAGTAGCTTGTATCCGTTAATCTCAAACTCCTCTAATTTATCCCTCCCCACCCGTTCCCCCTCTGGCAACCATAAATTTGTTTTCTATGTCTCTGAGTCTGTTTCTGTTTTGTAAATAAGTTCATTTGTCTCATTTTTTTAGATTCTACATGTAAGTGATATCATACGGTATTTGTCTTTCTCTGTCTGACTTCACTTAGTATGAAAATCTCTAGGTCCATGTTGCTGCAAATGACATTATTTCATTCTTTTTTATGGCTGAGTAGTATTTCACTGTATAAGTACATACTGCAACTTCTTTGTCTCTTGTTTTGAAAATTTCTTTTATTTGATTCCCCCCCCCATTTTTATTGACTGGTGATCTCCTGTTACAGTTTGAGAAAATTTAAGACGAGGCTCTGTGCTGTAAGAATAGATGCAGATTTCAGAATAGGAGTCAGCATTCAACTCGTTGAATTTTGGGAGAGGAAGGTGAGAGATGCTCTCGTCAATGGAGTGATGTCACAGAGAGATGATTTCTTTTAATTTCTCTCCTCTTTTAAGATGACATTGACCTGCTGGTTTATATTACCGGAAGCAGTTTCTCTGACGACTCACAGGCCTTGCAGGTTACAGTGAACCAAACGCATTGCAAAGTTATTTCCTCAAACCAAACGAATGTGGTGTGTCGGACAGGCCTGCTGCCCGTGGGGGTGCATCGCATCTCAGTGTTGGTGAGACCTTCTGGTCTTGCCATCAGCGCCAGTGGAGGAGGCCTCTTCCTAAATGTGGAGCCCAGGCTGGACGCTGTGGAGCCTTCCAGAGCTGCAGACACTGGTAATCAGGGGCACTTGCCTTGTGTCTGCCCCTCCGAAGCGTGCCTTCTCGCTGATACACAGGAATCTAGTCCTGCCATGTAATAAATCATGATGCCCAGCTTTCTGTTTTCTACCATCAGCATTTCCTCCAATGAGCAACAGACATTTGAGCCATTAAATGAACTCACTTGCCACACAAGGGACCATAGTTTGGCTGATGGCGTCAGGCGTAATTGGGTAGATCCCTGAGTCATTAGGACAATCTGATCTAGTGGAAACAGTCCTAGATGAGAAGTTAGGACGTGTGTCTGGGTTTTCAGTCTGCCAGAGTCAGAGGTGTGACCTTGTAGGTTTCAGCTACTTCTATGGGACTTACTTTCCTAGTAGTGATGCAGATGGGCACAATATCATTACTGAGTATCTCAGTGCTTACAGCTGCCCGAAAGATGGAATTACTGTCTACTTTTTTTCGATGAGATAACAGTGGTCCTAAGGGAAGAGTGAGTGACTTGCCCAAGGATTCCTAGCAGAGAGGGGTGGAGCCAGGATGCCACACAGGATCGCGGGGTGCCAGGGCTCCTGCCTCTCGTCCCAGCGCCGTGATGTCTTACCATCCACGGGGTCGAGCACTGCCGGGCTTGTAGGCCTCCCCATGTTGAGTGAGATTGAACTGAGCCAACAGGTGGGAAAGCCCCTTGAAAATTAAAAACATTTGCAAATGTGAGGTGCAGGCCTGGCCCACTAGGAACACAGTGGGTGTCTGAGAAATTTTGTAAAATGACGTACACTTGGCTACTTGGCTAGCAGGCCAAGCCAGCTAGCATTTGAGTAATGGGGGACAGAGAGGACAGTGGGCTTGCCAACACCTGCCTCACGGGGTGTGGGGTCTCAGTGCAGCGGCAACCACAGATCTCTCCATGCTTTCTGAGGGACACGGCCAGCCTAAGACCACCCGGCCAGGCTGCAGGAATCTCGGGAACACTGCTGCTGTATATGTGAGCGTGTGATTTTTAGAGTGTGAAAAAAGCTCTTTCCCTCATGCCTTGGGTTTTTGTCACTGTGTATCCTGTTGCCCGAAGGTCCGTGGCAGGAAGCACTTCTTAAAGTAGTGTTTCCTGGCTCCAAGTTCATTGTTCAAAGGACCATTTCGTTTCTGACTTGACTTGGCCTAAAAGAGTAAACCAGGAGGCCCATTCTGCCTCCTCTCTGCACATGAAACAGCTAGCTTGCCCCCTTCCTCGGTGACTCAAGGAAGGAACCAGGTGGTGCGAGGTGCTCAGAGTGAAAGATCATGTTCTATATTAACCCAATAATTGTTGGTTAGAGTTTAGGGCATACAGTAGTCTTCCCACTAGATTTATAAGTGGCTTTGGTCTTCCTGTAAAGTTACCTTTGCCATTCAGGCTACACCGTCCTTCCCACCCCCGACGCCCCGGACCGCGGGCACCTCCAGGGCAGACGTGCGACTCAGTCATCCACGTCCTGTATACACAGTGACTCGCACAGGCAGGCTGGCCACCTGTCTGGTTTTCCTGGGACTGAGGGGTTTCCCAAGATGGAAGACTTCCAGTTTTAAAACTGGGACGTGGAACTCTTAGTGCTGAAACTCGGAAAGTCCCAGGCAGGCCTGGAGGAGTTGGTCACCCTGCCAGGCTGTGCTGTACAAATAACACATGGTGAGAGTGTTTGTCCGGGAGGATGGTGTGTCACCCCTCTGTATTTCAGTGAAAGATGAAACACTCAGAGAAGGGGTCATGTTGAGTGGGTCCAAATTAACTTTTGGTGAGACAGAGAGGGAGAGCGAGAGAGGCTTTAACTGCGATTTTCCTTATTACTGGATTTAAATTTTCCCTCTGAACCCTTCCTCCACCCTGCCAACTACCTAGTATCAACTAGTGTCAGCCAATCCATCCATCCATCCATCCATCCATCCATCCATCCATCCATCCATCCATCACTCAGCACTGACTGAGCTCCCTGCGGAAAACGCTGGGCCAGGGGCTGAAGACCATAGTTCTCACAGTGTGGTCCTGGACCAGTGGTACCTGCATCATCTGGGGGCTTGTTGGAGGTGCAGCATCTCAGACCCCACCCCTCACCTCCCAGTCGGTCTGCACGTTTGCATGATCCCTTGCATTTTCTTTTCTTTCCACTCTGCACGGATGGAGTCTAGGTTTCTTACAGCCCTCTTGTAAGTCCTACTGGTTTTCAGACCAGCTAAGGGGACTCATTTTCCTGGGGTTGAACTCTGAGGCTGTGGTGCCTCAGTATGTGACTTGAACCCCTCACTCCCCAGGGAGGGGTCCCCGAGCCTGCCCCTTTTCTTCTGCATCCCCTTATGGGGGCGTGGGTCCCCCCACATTGCTTCTCCTCCTTTCCTACCCGACCCCACCCCAGAACAGCTTTTCTGCCAGCCCCCAGGCTGCTCTCAGCAAGCATTGCTCCGCACATAGATGCGTGTCTGGTGTGTTTGGAGGTGGGGGGCGTCTGCTCCACGTCCTCCTCCTGCACCACCTTGGTCTCCCCAATTATTGCTATTTTCTAAGATATCTTAACGCCTGGCAGAAGATCCCACTTTACTCTTATTTTTGAAATTTTGCTTTCTGGCTATGGTTGTTAATTATTTTTCATCGAATTTTAAAATCAGCTTATCTGATTTAAATTAACCATCCTTTTTGTGTTTTTATCATGAGTGTGTTGATGCTTTAGCTTCACTTAGAAAGTTTTGCTACCTTGTGACACTCACTCCTTCTGGACATTTACTTCAGTTTTCTTATTTAAGGTTTTTTTTAGTTAAAGAAAGTTTATATATATATATAAATTGGAGTCCTTCCCCTTTGTCATAATGATTACTACGTCATTGCTATAATGTCTGGTTTTTTCCTTTAAGTTTTAACCCGGCTATTAGGTTCCTCAGCAGCATTTCAAAAGTTTCTCCAAGTTTCTTCATATTCTTGAATTTTTCTTGTCAAGATGCTTCCGGATAGTGTATCTGTTATGTTGCCATTGTGCTGTTGTATCTTCTCCAATATTACTCTTTAACTTAGAAGGCCATTGCCCTGAATCCTCAAGGCATGTTTATATATTCCACTTCAAAGTAATATTCCATTCAGTCACCTGCCTCTGAAAGGTTTTCGTCAGGTTGTGTAAGTCCCCCTTTCTCAACCTGACACGTCTGGGGTGGGTAACTTTGCTATTGCGCCCCTCCCCCCTCTCAAGGGATGTGTGTCTCTGTTCGGTGACTTCAGGGCTCTTCTGATATCCCCTTCTGGGGAGATGCAGAGAGAATCTTGGCCCTCACCCACAACAAGGGGGCTTCCTGTCCGTCAGCGGGATCATGGGCACCTCCTCCAGATGGGACCGTGTGCTGTGACACCAGTGTGATGGGGCCACACCTCCTCTCACTGATGTCTGTAGTGGGCAGGGGAGTTTCTGTGGTTGAACTTTAGTGGCTGAATGGAGATCCCGATGGCATTCGGTGATGATGTCCGTCATTTCTGTATCATCACAGGGACTGGAACAAAGTATGTGCGTATCAACTCACAAAGCTGGGAGGGCTAAGGCTGTCATTTAAGGATGGGGGAAGTGAGGACCGGTGACCTCGGGGGCAGTACTGCAGATGATCTGCTCTCAGTGGCAGAGCAAACTCCGCCCTGACTCTGGGCCCACTGCTCCTTCTCCCATCTTATAGCTGCTCTCTTACACTTGGCTTCTTGGGAAAAGAGTAAGTTGTATAGAATTGGCTGTCACTGACAGTAGTTAAGAATCACGGGCAGAGAGAGTTTTCGGAGGTCCTCTATTTTACTCTCTGTCTCACAGCACTGTGTTATCCTTAAGTATCTCCAGGATGCGTTACTCCTTCTCTGCCTTCTAGTCGCTATTTCTCCCACCTTATTTAGTAGCTTATGTATTTAACTTGGAGTCTTTTCCTGCAGTTTAAGCATGCTTTGTGTTTTGACTAAGGAGCCTTATATGTTGATTTCATTTTCTCTCTCTTGCGGGTAATGAATTTTTGTCTGCCCGTATGGCTGTGGGTCCCATCTGAAAACGCTACTTCTGTACAGGAGGGCTCTGGGCCACCATCCGAGGCTCCGGTTTGGAAGATGTGAGCCTGGTGTTGTTCGGATCTCAGCCTTGTGCCGTCAACGTCACCACAAGCCATTCGCGAAGAATTCAATGCAAAGTTCCACCCAGGGTGAGTGGAAACTTTTGGCATCTCCTGTCTGGGTGGGTGACTGTTATTAACGTGTTGTGTAAAGTTCTCAGTGAACCATTTCTTAGAACTCAGTTAATGGACATGACCTGTTTATCAGGAGAATATGCTTACTTTACTTATGTGGAAGCACTTCCGCTATGAAGTGAGGAGCTGGCTCCACCAATGGGGCTTATAATTAGCATCTGTCAATTTCTTTTAAAAGAAGATGAACCAGTCAGTTCCACTCTATACTCTTATTTTTCATTTTAAGAACTTTCATAGTATTAGTGCCACAGAATAGATTTATCCAGTGCTCCTTCTGAGTGTAGGTTTGCAAACATATCTCTTATAATCTCATTTCTTTCTCAAGCAAACAAATAACTAAGTTTTCATTAGCAGTTTTGTTTTCTGGCATGGATGTGACTGGGGAGCTTAGAATCTTCCCCATGTCTGATTCCTATGAAACAGCTTCCTAGGTAGTTCCTGCTGCTTCCCTTTTTCTCTCAGAAACAAGTCCCAGGGCTTTCCTCTTCCTCTTCAGTTAGTGCTCAGACAGCGTAAGAGGTTTGGGTCCAGGCCCTTCCCCGCTGCTGTGGGAGAGCGTCACGCTCACAGCTGAGGTTGGATTTCTATTCAGAGTTCATGTCAGTGTCAACGACATTTGTAACACATCCAGAGCTTGAAAGAAGGCTGTCTACTGAACGATAAAGCTCTCTGGAGGAAGAATGGGTTCGGAATCACCTTTGATCTCTGGTTCCATTAAAAAAAATTTTTTTTAATTGAAGTACAGTCAGTTTACAATGTTGTGTCAGTTTCTGGTGTACAGCACAATGTTTCAGGCATACATGAATATACATGTGTTTGTTTTCATATTTTTTATCATAAGCTACTGCAAGATATCGAATATAGTTCCCTGTGTCTGGTTCCATTTTTTATCTCATCTGGTTATTCAAATATTATGAAATATTAGCTTTTGTGTATCAACTACATGCAATCCTGATATATGGTTGTGTTGTCATTTGTTTATTTCCTGTTATTGGACATTTAGATAATTTAGATAGTTTCCAAAATTTCCTGGGTACAACAGTAGAGCTTTGATTATCCCACTAACTGTATTTTGGGGTATATTTATTTTTCTCAGGATAAATTAATCTAAATGCTGAAGTGTTTGGCATGTGGTGTCCAGTTATCTGAAATTCCTTTGAAACTAATGCTCTCATCATCACCGTGTGAGTGTCTGACTTCTGGTGCCTTGGCCAACATCGAGTTTTAGCATTTTAGTATCTATTTACCATTTTAATGGGTAAAATTTGTACTTGTTGGATTTCTTTTACTAGGAAGAATAAACATTAAGAAAGCTAACATTTAATTTTGAACAAACTTTGCGTTTTGAACATGCCAAATTCAAAAGGAAATAGTAAGACAACCATGCTGTCCTCTGTCCCACCACCCTGTTGTTCAAGTCTTCCTTTCTGAAACGACCACTTTCAATTCCTTTGAATATAGTTACAGGACCATTTTTTGGCTAAGCCAATAAACTATATTGACATTATTAAACTATTTGAATGATCCTGGCAGAATATATTTTTTTAACATTTTTTATTGATTTATAATCATTTTACAATGTTGTGTCAAATTCCAGTGTTCAGCACAATTTTTCAATCATTCATGGACATATACACGCTCATTGTCACATTTTTTTGTCTGTGAGTTATCATAACATTTTGTGTATATTTCCCTGTGCTATACAGTGTAATCTTGTTTATCTATTCTACAATTTTGAAATCCCAGTCTATCCCTTCCCGCCCTCCAGAATATATTTTTTATAGTTTGTTTTGTTTTTAGAGTTTCTTATTTTTTATTAACATGTCTTGCTTATAATAAAAAAGTCCTCTGTCTTTAAAAAAATTTAATTGTATCAGTTGCTCTTTTTTCTGGAAACTCTCTGTTCTGTTTCCATCTAACCTGGTGTTTTCTAGGTTCACTGTATGGGTTTCAGCCTGGGAATAGACTCATTGTTTCTTGGTGTTTCTTTCTCTTTTGTTTGGGTTACTGTTTATTTCATGAGATCACAGCCTTAAGAAATATCCCAAGAAAGAAAATGTGGGAGGAAGGTTTTCTGAACACTTAAATGTCTGAAAGTATTCTCACCCTTGATGGATAGTTTAGCTAGATATAGATGTTTATTTCAAATTGCCGTTTGTTTTTTTTTACAGAACCAATTGGTGTGTTAATTGCAAATCATTCTTATTTACTCTTTAACCTGTTGGATGCTACACTTGCCTAGTCTAAGCACTTGTCACTCGGTGTATGTATGTGTGTCTTTGTGAGAGAGAGTGGGAGAGAGAAGGGGAGAGAAAGACTTGAAACTAGCAAATATATTTTTTAAAAACAGTTCTCTTGAAATTAACCTTTTAAACTGATTCTGTATGGACTTTGCTCAAGTAAGCCTTACTTACAGGGCTGTGATTTTAAAAATTAATTTTTCAGGGGAAGGATGGACCTATTGTGAATGTGACTGTGATCAGAGGGGACCACTCTGTGGTTCTTCCCACGGCATTTATATACGTCTCCTCTTTAAATCCAGTAATCACGTCTCTCAGCAGGAACAGAAGCAACGTAGCAGGTAAAATACATGGTGCTGCAGGACCTTTTCATTTCAGACCATTGATGCTATAAAAAGGGCAAACACTGGCCTCTTAATTTTACCAAAGACAGTGTTATATTTTGGATGGAAGTTATTTTTCTGAAAACCTGGATACTGATTTCCTCATCTTAGCCTTCATTGAATAAATCTCCTTATACCTATTTTTCCCTCTGAAAGACTGGGACCATTTCCATCATGAAAATGACATGGGAATTCAAAGGGAACCATGCAGTAAATATTTATTGTGTACCTACTATGTGACAATAATAACAGCCCAGACATATAATAGACATTAATCCTTGTCCTCAATTTATAGAATTATTAGTCTCAGTTTACAGATTAGGAAACTAAGGAACAGAGAGCAAGTAGCTTGTCTAAGATGTTACCTGCAGTAAGTTACTGAGCAGGGATTTGAACTCAAGCAGTCGAGCTGCAGATTCCAAATGCTTAGCCACTTAGAGTTTATTGTGAAGTAGGATTTGGCCAGCAGGTCCTTTTGTAGCAGTTATTTGATATGATTGGAGAATAGGATGTTCTGATTAACTAAGAATTCCTGTTCCTTGAGAATATATATATATAT